GTTACTATAATGCAATACAAAAAATATCGGACTCCATTTCGTAGATTCCTATTTCTTCTTCTTTAAATACTGAAGATAAAGAAGGTCAGCCGCTGAAAACAGTGTACTTTGAATGTCCGAGGACAAGCGCATGGACGTTTATTATCATATTATTCTAAAATAAAATTATGAAATGGCGTAATTACATGTTTACCACGTATATAAAAAAGGTGAAGAAACTGATATTCTCTCATTCTTTTTTTCTCCTTGTGATCTATAAACTTTCCAATTTATATTTGGTCATTATGGTCTATCTTTAGCGTAACATAGATGATAACGAAGCATCACATTAAAATAACGAGCAACACCTTTTTTTTTCTTAAGTCCATCTCTATTAAATAGGAATGAAGACAGCTCTTTTGGATATTTATTTTTCAATTCAGATCATTAGATTCCACCAACGGAAAATGATAATAATTCCTGTGAATACAAATACAATATATGTAGGCATGATTGAGGGTAAGTAACAATGCTCCAATTTGATATAATCTTTATTCTTTGAATTTCAGATGGATGGCTAGAATCGAAATTCGATACCATTTATCCATTAGAGTTAATCGTTCCATGGAGGTCAGCAAAGCTCTAACCATTTTTTGGACTATTTTGATGTTCACCGGTATTGGAGCTATAATTTCCATCATTGATTTGTTTCGAATGAAGTCAAAGCGGATGGAACGATTGAAAGAAGCGATTGCTGAAGAATCGGCGAAATATTCTTCGAGGTCGTCAATACCCTGCCGTTGAAGATTAGATTTTACCAAATATTTGGTTCCAGGACGTACTCCTCTGATAGTTTTTCATGTAAGCACTATTGTATCTTTACTATAAGTAATGCGATGTGAACCTTACTGCTCAACAAGAGAAATTGCCTTGTGTAGTATTTGTTTCTATTAACAAACTTTTATTTATGGTCACAAAGTAAAAATTTCAATTGGTTCTGTGATGAATACAGCCAAAACTATACCCGTGTTTTGGTTTTGAGTGTGTCTTCTCTATTTCCACATCTACATCTCCGAAAATCTAATTCAATACAGGTTAGGTGGTGAAAGCATCGAATCGGCTCAAATTGGAGTTTGAAATACTTACTCAAATACGTAAGGTCTCATGTATTTTATAATCTACTCGCTTCCATTCAACGTGAAGATACATATAATTTGATTAGGCGTCCTTTTATGAACGAATATTATTCACCCACTGTATGACTCTTCTTCCAGTATAACGAATATTTTCAACAATAAAATAATAAAATGAGTTCTTCATTTCACATCTTATCTGTCTCTATGTTGTACATAAGTTTTAATGGATCCCAGTAATTGTTAAATATAAAATGAACAGCCTAGTACACAGTTTAGTTTGCTGTAATATTTTCTTAAAAAATGATTCCTATAAGTTATTAAAAATTCATAAAATTCATTATTTTAACATTTATTTCAGCTAGCAATAGATATTGATTATGATGCTGCGACCACAAATGAAAATGAAATGCGTTCTTCAAATCAAGTTAATTCTGAGCCAGCAGCACTTTCTGAACGACAAAACAATGATGCACCTCCACCATATTCTCCTCAATCTGCAGGATTTTGTTCTCAATATGGCAAAGCGCGACAAGATGTTACAGCTAAATTTTGTTCATCATGTGGACGGGCATTTAATTAATATTGAATATTTATCTTTTTCTGCTATTAACAGTTTTTTTTTGTATACTTTTTGTGTACTCAAAAAGTGAGTACACTATATAATCGGCCAGTGTGCTCGGTCGTCCGTCCGACCATTTACACGATAACTTTCGAAAGGAGAGTCCGATCGCGATGAAATTTTCTACACAGTTTTGTCCAAGGGGGAAAAAGCGAGACCCTTAGGGTACGTACTCCAGTTGCACTCCACCCGTACTCCAACTGTACTCCAGTTGTACTCCACCCAAGGGGGAAATAGCGAGACTCACTCTACTCCACAAAAAAATTGGAGTATAACTGGAGTACGCATTCTAAGAGTCTCGCTTTTCCCCCTTGCTCAGTGGGCACAGGACCACTGCTGAGATCGTATCCTACATTGATACTACCATTGAAGCTGAGACGAAAAGTGATAAGGGTTGTAGAGTTCAAACTGACGTTGCCTCCCCCATCGATACCAGAGTAAAAATTTGCAGGAGAATCGGTAGATGCTCTATGGCTACGACAAAAGTCTGGCACTACATTGATCCAGCAATTAAAATCATAACGACAGAGAATAGGGAGTGTGGAACAGGGTTACCAGATCTTCCGAAATGACAGGAAAAATTCTGAATTTTGACTTTTTTTCCGAAAGTGTTCCGAATTAGGATTCTTTTCCGAATTTTAACATTTTCTAGATTTCACTTTTTTCCTTGCAATTTACTAAAATGTAATCATTAATATGCCATCTCTTTTCTTCTATAATGATTGGCTACTCTACTGCTCTCAGATCAGAGACCGGCGGAACAATCAAAAACTGTCCCGGCAAGGCCCGCCGGGAGTGGTTCAAAGGCTGTGACCCGCCCCATCCCGTCCCCTCTAGATATTTTCACTCCCGTTCCGTCTCGCGTCCCGCTAAAATTTTTTCAATCTCGTCCCGGCTAATCTCGCGAGCATGTTTTCACCAAAAGTAAACAGCGTATATATATCGTTGTAAAGCCGAAGGCGAGGAAAGCATGAAGCAAGTGTGTTTGATCCATCGGTAGATTCAGACGAGTTACATAGATGATAGAGAAGAAAGTGAGTACTGTTGGATGTGAATGAGTAAGTCTTACAACACTTTCGGCAAGAAACAAATTTGTCAATACGTTCTGAAGGACCACCATTAGAATCAATAAGTGCCGAAAATCCAAATACTTGCCAACATGCAGATGTCAGTTTTTTATTTGTATTGTTTATAACGATAAGACGATCTTTTTCTTTCTTGAGATTTTCAATCTGTACACAAGAATAAACCGCATGAATTGAAGTACGAATGAGTGTTGATGGTGTTGAAGTAGGAGAGGCGAGATCAATTCTCGATGAAGACGAAATAATACGAGAGCATGGAGAATAGCTATGACCATCGACTTTTCTCGGCGTAGAATCCATGTGTAAAGACGAATTGAAATGAACAACTTTTGAAAGTAACAATTGTGACGAAATGAAATAGAATGAACAAATGTATATGTCAGCGTCCAAACTGAGATTACGTCCAATCTCAGATCGGCCTAGGCGAATGTCGGATCCGAGATTGGACGCGTTCAATCTCGGATTCACGCAATTCTGTTCATTAAAATATCAATTACTTTGTAGACAGACCTTGGATTCAAACTTTTTTTTGAAATTATGTTCACACAATGTCGTTTTAAGTATTACAAGCATTTAGGAAGAAGCTAAATTTAGACTCAAAAATGTAATAAAATTTTTTCACAAAAGTTGTTGTTCTCTAGAAATTTATTCATAACTCCTAAAATTTTATTCAAATCTGCCAAATGACAATTGTGCCAAACAAACTGGCATTGTGTGAACATAATTTTAAAAAAAAGTTCGAATCCAAGGTCTGTCTAAAGGGTAATTGATATTTTAATGAACTGAATTGCGTGAATCCGAGATTGGACGCGTCCAATCTCGGATCCAACATTCGCCTAGGCCAATCTGAGATTGGACGTAATCTCAGTTTGGACGCTGACATATACATGTCTAACTTTATTATATTCCTCATGTTAGACGAATTATATTATGATCGTTATCTCATTCTTCGGTCATCATTCATCTCATTCAATTCAAATTGCCCGTCAATATTGTTCTTTTTCTGTCTCAATGTCTGTTTACATAATAGTCGACCGCTTTGATAACCATTCTTCTAGTCTTGTGACATAAAATCGATCGTTATTGTGCTACACACCATGAACGGCCATTTTTGTTTTTTGTTCCATTAATGAAAGTAAGCGGGGCAAGCACTGAGTCCCGCCTATCCCGCATCCCGCGACCTTTTGTCCCGTGTCCCCGTCGGTCTCTGGTAGTGAAATAACATTTCAACTTTTGTTTTTCTATAAATTGTATAAAAATAAATTATGAGTGATGTGGACAACATTCTTTTAACATATAAGCGGTCAATTTATTATCATAAATGTTACAAAATTGACTTTAGATTTTTTCCGAATTTTTCTATAAGAAAATCCGATTTCTAAATTTTTGATCTGGCAACCCTGATGTGGAACCACCCCTGACATGCTATTCAGCATTCATATCGAGATTGGAGTCACTATGCGAGCTAGTAGTTGCTCTAAAGTTCGAACTAAAGATATTTCATACAATGGGTTATTTAAATTCAATCTGAATTTAAAAAGAAAAAAGAGCACTTGATTTCAAATTGAAATAGGGGACTAAGGGGACTAAAGGGACTAACTAAGGGGACTAACTAAGGGGACTAAGGGGACTAAGGGGGCTAAGAGGGCTAAGAGGACTAAGGGGACTAAGGGGACTAAGGGAGCTAAGGGGGCTAAGGGGACTAAGGGGACTATTCAGTGAGGAAGCGTGTTTCCCCACCTAACACACCTTTTATCTCAGCGTCGCGGCGTGGGGGCGCGAAGCGCCCCCCGAAGAGCCGCGACCCATGCACGTCTCTGTGTACACCATTATTCCTACCCTTAGGCCGGTTAGTTAGTCCCCTTAGTCCCCTTAGCCCCCTTAGTCCCCTTAGCCCCCTTAGTCC